TTAAATTACCCGCTTAATGTTTCGACCTGAACAGATCGTAGTGCACGACTCTTAGTTTCTTTCTTCTTTTCTCTTCAAACACATTTCACTCCATACACATTTCTTTTTCTCATTCACTTTTCACGCATATGTACATTTCCTTTGTCATTCATATATTTTGATCATAGTCCGTCCTTTTTCTCTCTCTGACTTTTTTATATATATATGCACAGTGGACGACAGCAGTGTGTATGTGTTGCGTAGTTTTTAAAATTTAAATATATTTTACTTAGTGTTTATGCTCTACACTTATATTGTCAGTCGTAGTCAAGGACACGGGATTAGGGTTTAGGAATGACTAGGCTTTGACAATTGGGGGGAATACCGTTATTATTTTTTTTCCCCAATAGGAGATCTCCACACTAGGACGGTTTCCGTAATTTTTTTTTGATTTATATCCGTTTTCTTCTTCTTAGTTTGATTTCACTTTTCCGTTATCATATATTTTTTTTTTTGTCTTTTATTCAATTATTGTTTATTCTCACGATTATTCGTACCCTTCTTGTTCATCCTTATCGGAACGAGTTCATCAACTTTATTACTATTATTTATTCACGGGTGCATTTTCTATACGCTCATTAGAGCTTCATTGATTGATTTATAACATTAAATTACATTCATATTACATTAAATTTATTTACTCAATAACGTAAGTCAAACAGTTTTCTATTATGGTTAAGATATCGAGAATTAGGATTCATTTCTTTTAACGTGTTTGATTTAATTTGTGCTTATTAACTTTTATAATTCTTTGTCGAAATTGTAATTTCTGAATTATTTATACACAGCTAGATTTAGTTGTTAATTTATCATGATAAATGAGCCGATCCGTTCGATCGAATACAAATTTAAAAAACTCTATTCTTTTCACTGACTTTTCACTCACTAAATCATCTTGTACATTGTCTAAAATCAAATCTGCTACAACTACTATATCTTCGCTGCCTTCAACTTCTGTTGTTTCAACGATGTCGTTGACTTCATCTGATTTAGATACTAATTCCCAGCACGATTCAACAGCAACACTAGCCACTACTACACTTGACAATATTGAAAACTTCAAACACATGGAAGAAACATTGCTTCAAGATAATCCAATCCTAGATCATCAGATCTCTGATAATCTCTCAAGTTGGATAATATCAGTCGAATCTACCTTTGAGCAATTAAAATATAAAGGAAGATTATACGTTGCCTTTGTTTATGATTTTTTGGATACCACTTTACAAAATTGGTATGATCAAACCTTTTCTCTTTTTAAAACAAACTGGAATGAATTTAAAACTTGTTTAACTTCTTTTTTTATTCAACCACCATCACTTACGAAAATAACTCCATCATTCAAAACAGTAGCATTTTCATCACCACAGAATGATCCACAAAAAGATGACAATGAAAAAGGACTTTGTTTACAACAACAACGAGTGGAAGAAATTCAAAACATTTTGAGTGCCATCCCAGGATTTAAGGGAGACAGCGACGAAGTTTGGTTTCAGGATTTGCTTTACAAATTCGCGGAACTGGATCTAGAGCCTGATACTTTACTTTATTATATCAAAAACAAATTAAATGGACCACCACTTATTTGGTATTATGAAAATTTTTTCAATTTTGTTGACTTTTCCACTTTCGTTACGTCCTTTCGTCTCAAATACATCGATCCACACTCTTCTTCTTCTATCGTACAAAATGACACAAAATCTTCTTCTCTAATCAATATCACTGATCAAACTTCTGAAAATCCAACAAATCTCTCTACAACATCTATTCATTCATTTTCTTTAAATTCTAAAAATCAATCCGTTGAAAATATTCTTCAAAAAACATTAATTAAAGATATTATTAAGAATCCTAAAACGTTTTCTGGTAAAGACAATGTATCAAACTGGCTAGAAGCCCTAGAACAAAAATTTACAACAGCTAAATGGCCAGATCATTTACGTCTCGAATATATTTCACAATTTTTAACAAATGAAGCTAAATTGTGGTATAAAGAACGCAAAAATCATATTACCACGTGGTCTCAATTTAAAGTTGAAATCACAAACGCCTACACATCCTCGTATGAAGTTACTCTGGCTTTCCAGCGCTTAAAGAACTATCAACAAACGAATGGTCAATTCATCAAACAATACTATGCTGATATCATCAAATTGTGCAAGGATGTTGACCCTCAGATGTCTGAACAAACCAAACTTCAAAATCTTATCGCAAATTTAAAACCATCAATTAAAATTAACATAATTGAAAAAGATCCAAAAACAACATCTGATATATTTTTTAAAATATGCCAAAATCACTGAAGATTTCCAAAATTTAGTTAGTCGAGATCTTAATCTAAATACTTTAGAATCAGATAATTTATTAACAACATCAACACCTACTTCTCGTTCTTCTTTATCTTCCCAAGTTTATGTGACACCCCCGCGACGCTCTAATAATAATCAACCACAACAACCACATACTTCTGCTAGTTTTATTCCACCAAATATGTCACAATCTTATAATTCTAATACAAATAATTCAAACTGGAATCAAATTCCACGAAGAAATTCATCAAATGGTTGGACTCCTCGTGATAACCGTCATCGATCGGATCCGCATTTTCAGTAGCGGATGCATCGGATGGTGATGCTTCCGAGAATTGTAACAACAAAAATCCATCATTAATGTTTATTTCCACACGTGTAAATAATATTCCACTTAATGTAATGATAGATACTGGAGCCATCAATACATTAATTTCTCGAAAAGCGCTTTCGTTTATTCGCCATAAGAAATGCCTTCATAAAATACCTTTTCAATTATTTCAAGCTGATGGAGCGACAGCACTGGCAGTGATCGGCGTCGTTGATCTTCAAATCAAAATTAAATCAACCATCACAACTATATCAGCATATGTAGTGAAAGACCTGTGCGGTCAATGTATACTAGGACTCGATTATATCAACAAATATGCTGATGATTGATGCTGGATCTCAACAAGTTTCTATTATTAACAATAAGATAGAAACAACAGCAAACATTATAAAAAAGAATGATCAAGTTAAGTTACCAATCCGTTTGAACAGTTCCGTTGTCATTCCACCTAATGATAATTTATCTGTTCAAATATCTACTGATATTTCAACCGGCTCCCTTCTGTTTTATCCGTCGTTTAATTTCAAACAACAACTTCCTATTCTTTTATGTAATAATATTTTGAAAATTCAACGTTATCAAGGCACTATTTCTCTTCAAAATCCTTTTTCGTTTCCATATTATTTACATAAAGGTACAAGACTAGGACTAGCCACCCTTCCAGCAACATCGCCAATCCCTCCATCCTCTTCTATCATTGCCCACACTGCGCTTGATCAATCGATATCACAAACTAACATCGATAATCTTCTATGTCATCTTCAAGACCCTAAACAAACTTCTATATTAAAAGAACAATTTCTTCGTTACGATGCAATCTTTGACACATCGAAACCAACAGTTGCTAAGACCGTTATTCAACATGCGATTAACACCATCGAACATCCACCACCTTGCTCAAAATCTTATGCGTTTTCGCATGCGAAACAAGAAGCTTTATATGAAGTTATTAACTCATTACTTAAATCAGGCCGTATACGAGAGTCACATTCGTCATACTCCGCTCCTGCACTACTAGTGGAGAAAAAAGATAAATCATGGAGATTGGTTATTGATTATAAAAAACTTAATTCCATCACAATCGAAGATGAGTTTCCCCTTCCTAATATGGAAAATACCTTACAGGAAGTGGGAGGCGGATTTTCGTTTTTTTCGAAGCTCGATTTGAAATCAGGCTTTTGGCAATTACTCATTGAAGAAACATATAAACATAAAACGGCATTTAAAAGCCCATTTGGTCTCTTTGAATGGAACGTTTTGTCACAGGGTCTTATAAACTCACCTCCTACATTCCAACGGGTAATGACAAAATTACTTCAACCATGCCGAAAGTTCTGTCTCGTTTACCTAGACGATATAATAATTTTCTCCAAATCATTTGAAGAACACGTCCAACATCTTAATCAAGTTTTACAACTTCTTCATGATGCAAATTTTCAACTCAATCCACCTAAATGTGAAATTGCTAAAAAAGAAATTGATTACTTAGGATACCATGTGACTCAATTTGGAATTGCTCCTCTTGCTGCAAAATATCTTCAATTTTACTACTCAAAGAACCAAAAACACTTCGACAAGCAAACCAATTCATAGGTGCTCTTTCTTGGTACCGTAAATTTATACCTAAATTCGCAACAACAGCAGCACCAATTCATGCCGTCACAAATCTTCCAAAAAACATGTGACACAAATTTCAATGGGGATCATCACAATCTGCTTCATTCAACGAACTCAAAAAGTTATTAACTGAAGCTCCTTTATTTCTTCATTTTCCAGTTGACCATGAACCGGTAATTCTTTCAACTGACGCAGCCTTGTATGGAATCAGCGGTGTATTACAACAGCAAATCAATGGCCAAATGTATAATTTATATTATCATAGCCAGCTTATCAGCCAAAGTCAACGGAAATATGATAATGGCGCAAAAGAAGCTCTTGCAATAGCTCTTTCGTTCAAACGAATGCGTCAATTCCTTCTTGGACGTAATATAATAGTCTATACCGACCATTGTCCTCTTTGCGGAATGCACAATAAAACTCTTCGCAACACATTGGCAAACAGAATTTCCATTTTATTGCAAGAGTACAACATTATTAAAATCATTCATATTAAAGGTAAAACTAACTGTTTGCCAGATTATTTATCTCGCTATCCAATTGAATTCAATGACCCTGATCTTCTTGATCCAAATTATGGTCTTGAAATTACACCATCTGCTATTGATTCCACTGTGATTCGGTTACAGCCTTCCATAGCGACAGTGGCCGCAGTTACAACCAGACTTCAGAGTAAAAGACAACAGCACCCAACACATACCCTGAATGATCATCTGATGATAATCACGCAGATAATGATAATATCACCATAGACGAAGAGATATTAGATCAAAGTCATTTAAGAACACCCTCATTTAGCACAAATAAATTTGATATTACTCAATTGAAACCCGAGCAAGACAAAGATCTTAAAATCCAAAATACAATCGCACAATTGAAGAAAGACCCCAACAATATTGATTTTGTCTTAAAAAATGGCATTTTGTATAAGTTGCTTCAATCTACATACGGTATAACTAAAAAGCAGTTGCCGTATATTCCATCCTCAATAATATCAACCTTATTGCAGGCTGTACACTACGATCCAATCTCAGGACATTTTGCTGTTAATTGCACACTAATGAAATTGAAAAATCAGTACTGGTGGTCAAGCATGAAATCTTCTGTAATGAATTACATTAACTCTTGTGCTAAATGTAAACAGTTTAATATTAGTCGACAGAAGAAACCCGGCTATTTGTGATCCTTAACTCCACCAGATGGACCATTTCAAATTATTGCCATCGATTTCGTTGGCCCACTCAATCGCACACCATCAGAAAATCGATATGTTCTCGCCATCACAGATTTATTTACACGTTGGGTCACAGCCGTAGCTTTACCAAACTGCACGGCGACAGTGACCGCAGAGACACTATTTAAGAACTATATTTGCCGTTATGGAGTACCAACCACAATTTTAAGCGACAATGGACCCCATTTTCGAAATCAGTTACTTCAATCACTCGAATATAAAATTGGAATTCATCATATTTTTTCATCTCCATATCATCCACAATCTAATGGTGTTATTGAACGTTTCAACGCAACATTTATTCCACAAATTGCCAAGCTCCAAGATGCAGAATATAATAACTGGGATGAGTATCTAGATGCTGTAGTCTTCGCCTACAACACCGGAGTACATTCTACCACACAATACTCTCCTTTTGAGCTTCAGTTTGGACGAAAGCCTCGATTGCCGACAGATTCATATCAACCGCAATTGACTTTCATCAAAATAAATGATTATTTAGCACAACTGGAAAAGTCATTGAAGATCCATCACAAATATGCAAAAGATAACATTCTTAAACAACAACATCATTCTAGATTACGTTATAACAAACATCGTCAATATCCCCATATTTCTATCGGGGATCCTGTGCTCATGAGAGTACAAGGGTCTCGTACAAAGTTGGAACCTTATTTCCATCCAGTTCCAAAAGTAATTGTCATGGTTCTTCATCCCACTTATATCGTGAAAGATCCAGAAACACAAGAAGAATATCAAATTCATGTCAATGATCTCCGTTCTTTCTCGGAGGCTAAATTTCAATAAATCTTCCTAGTTTTTTTTCATCGTCGCCAGTAATTATATCTAACGTCTACACAAGTTTCGCCCATGTTTTTTTTTACCTTCTAAAAGATTTTCTCTTTGTTCTATTCGTGGTTAAGGAAATGTCTTCATTTTTAACTCTCATGCCGACGAAGTGAAAGTTGCCAGCAGACTTGGATGTGAACACACTGATACGGGTGATTTTATCTGGCCAATATAATCACATGAATTTCTTGTACCCATATGTATGTATTCTTGTATATATGAACTTTTTTATATATATATGCACAGTGGACGACAGCAGTGTGTATGTGTTGCATAGTTTTTAAAATTTAAATATATTTTACTTAGTGTTTATGCTCTACACTTATATTGTCAGTCATAGTCAAGGACACGGGATTAGGATTTAGGAATGACTAGGCTTTGACACTTAAAATCAGAGAAATTTTGAACTGATATTTGAGGCTTTTCAATAATTGTTAATTGTGAATCTGGTCGAATTTCAGTTGTAAACTTCCGTAAGTCATTTTTAAACATTCTTATACTATTCTCAACAAAAGGCACTTCAATAAACATTCTTTTCTTTTTCTTATCAGTATCCGCAATACATTACCGTTTCCTGATGTTAGTATCATCAGAACCGATTTCACATATGATACAACTATCTTCAGAAAAAACACATTACAAGTCTAATCATGAAATGGGATTCATATGTCCTCATGTCCTATAAACGCTCAGTCATCAGTGGTATGGTTCATAGAGCCATTAATCACTATTAGATGAGGAATTGAATATTATTCGTAAAATAGCTCAAAGTAATGGTTACCCTAGTTCTTTTATTGAAATGCTCATTGAGATAAAAATTAGTAAATGGTATAGCAAATCTGATACGTGTGTTGATACGGATACTGATAAGAAAAAGAAAAGATTGTTTATTGAAGTGCGTTTTGTTGAGAATAGTACAAGAATGTTTAAAAATGACTTACGGAAGTTTACAACTGAAATTCGACCAGATTCACAATTAACAATTATTGAAAAGCCTCCAATATCAGTTCAAAATTTCTTTGATTTTAAGTGGATAATTTATTTCTCGTTGGAAGTGTGAACACTCACTTTTTTAGATATTACTACTGAAGATCGATGTTTATAAGCATAGAGATGGATAATGTTTCTGTGTTTTACCATGAAAGAACTTAGGTTCGGTCTATATTATATATCAAAAGAAAGCTTTTTTAAAACTCTACCAAATGGCTGGTTATTCAT